AAAACAAAACAAAACAAAACAAAACAAAACAAAACAAAACAAAACAAAACAAAACAAAACGAGGTTCCTGAGGTTGAGTTCTGGCTTCCATAGAAATGCATCCACTTAAGCATATGCTCCTACATATACACATACACCCACCTGCACACATACACAGACACAGACACAGACACAGACACACACACACACACACACACACACATACCTGCACACACACACACACACATACACCCACCTGCACACACACACACTACAAAGAAACTGCTTTTAGGATAAGGCACAAAACTTTGTCTATTTAGAAAAGGAGAGAAAGGAAGAAGGGCATTAATTGTTGACCCATCTATTTAAAGGCTGATGTCGCAAAAAGGCAAAGCATATTCAGGTAGTGATAAGTTCAGTATAGCTAGAATTTAGGAGACACAGAGAAGGAAAAGACATAGTGCCTGCTCCAAAGGAGTTTGCATAGAGAGAAAACAAACAGGGAGAATGAAGACCATAAATTGTTTCATGCATTAATATTTAAGAGAGTGACGGATGGAGTGAAGAAAGAGATGAGGACGAGAATTCTACCCGGTCACGTCAAGAAAATCTCCCTAGAGGAAATGTATGTTAGATGAATCATGAAAGAGACGTGGGATTGCATTAGGTAGAAAAGATAAAAAAGAATGTTCCAAACTGCAAATAAAAAAAAAATGTGTAGTGTGAGCAAAAAACAAGATAGGCACCAGATTGGGCCATGTCCTGAATGACAAACAAAAGATTCTAGCTTTTATCTTGTAGATAACAGGGAGGCGCTGAAGATTTTAAGCAGGAAAGTGACATGGTCAGATTTTCCTCTGCTTGCCTTGTGTGGTGATTCTCCCAGGGGAAGAGCATGCTGAGAAGCTAGCATATAATAAATAGGTAGGCAGGATGCATGAGCAGACAGCAAGCTTTGAGATACACTGAAGAGGTAACATGTTTGGGACTCAGTGGCCAATTGGATGTGAAAGGTAAGGGAGGTGAAGGAGTCGAAATTTCTAATTTGGGAGCTAGATAGGTAACATTCCCAACAGCATGATCGGGAATACAGGAGAACGAGGCCATTTGGTGTGGTGAGGGGTGAGGACACTGTTACATAATCAGCTATACTGGAGACATTTAGTCTTACATACTGGGGTTGTTGAGTTTTGAAAAGGAGATGGATGAACAAAAAAGTAGATGCACAAATCAAATGATGGCTTAATAAATGTACACAACACGAGGAGAAGCAGCAGTGATGATACTTGCAAATAATAAAGGAAATCTCTTTTAATGTGTGGTCAAAAGAGTCCCTTCTCCAAAGGGGAAGAAGCAATAACCTTTGATTCCTGGCAGTGGTGATTAAACGGTGACCATTTTTAGACTCTATTCTACTAGCTCCCAACATTATCTATATAAAGGTCCCTTCCTAAGATGAAAAACAGTCTCACGTCACCCACTCACACCCACTATAGTAGCTGTACTTTTAGAACTTCCAGAATGAGAAAACCACTTAACACATTTAGACATTTGTAGACTTCATGCATCAAGTGCCCTTCTCTCTTCTTCAAGGGTTCATGGTCCCAGGATGGGGAACTATTACAGAGTCTGAGGTTTGTAGCATGAAGGATACTTTGTCATAGTTTAAAATCCCTGGCAATTATACAGCTACACAGCTTTCGACCACAAAGAGATTCCCCAAAGGATGGCTGAAAATATGATTCCCCCAATCAGATACCAACAGGAAAAGATCCGTCACTTAGATGGAATATAATATATTGAAATGGGTGTGGTGGTGCAGCCTTTAATCTCAGAACTCAGGAGACAGAGGCAGGTAGATCTCTGAAGTGTTGAAAGTTATTACGTACATAGTGAGTTCCAGTCCAAAATGCTTTTGTTGAATTCACCAGTAATTCATGTTTTTAAAATTCAAAAGTTTTTTTTCTCCCCTGCAGTGCTAGCAATTGAATCTAGGGACTTGTGCATACTAGGCAAGGTCTATATCACTGAATCATATTTTTAGTCCTTATTTTTTTTCATTTATTTATTTATCTGTAGCACTGGAAGCAGAACCCAGGGCCTTTCAAATGCTAGGCAAGAGCATGAAACCTTCATGTACACTCTTTACAGAGGAACTGGAAAATGTGACATAAATTGTAGGATGGAATTGAAGATAAGCTGCCATATTATCACAACCTAGAGATAACCATTACTGACAGACAGAAAGATATAGTACTTTGTCTTTGAAAAGCAAATATTGGTAAGCTCCAGGTGATTTGGAGGACATGTGTGGTGGCTTGAATAGGAATGACCCCCTGAGACTCAAGTGTTTGAATGCTTGGCTCCTAGGGAGGGGCATTATTAGGTGTGGCCTTGTTGTAGGAAGTGCGTCACTGTGGGGAGCTGGCTTTGAGGTCTGAGAAGCTCAAGTCAGTTCTCTCCCTGCTTCCTGCAGATCAAGATGTAGAACTCTCAGTTCCTTCTCCAGTACCACGTCTGCCTGCAGGCTGTCATGCTTTCTGCCATGACAATAATGGATGGAACCTCTGAGATCGTAAGCCAGCTCCAATGAAATGAGCTCCATTTATAAGAGCTGCCATGGTCATGGCCGTTCACAGCAATAAAACCTTAACTAAGTCAACATGAAACTGGTTGCTTGTAACCAGGGGAAGGAGAAGAGTCAGAATAACTAAAAGCAACCTATTCCAAAGAGAGGAGAGGATGCGCTTTGGGAATTCATGAAGGTAGTGAGTGACAGGAACCCTGGAAAGTGCAGAGAAAATGGTGAGCACTGCACCAACTAGAAGTACCCTAAACTGAGCAAGCTTCTGCTGATGAGGGGAAGGCAAGTGTAATTCCCATCCCAACTCTTTTGTTTTCCCCTCTCTGCATTGTCTTAGGGAACTGAGCCCTCCAAGGCTGTTCAATCAAAATATCTCCAAGTAAAATTAAAGAGATATGCAAAGAGGTGTGCAGAAAGCCAAAAAACACAAAAGAGCAAGGCAACTTGACTCATCCGAAAAAGCACAGCTTCCTCAGTTACTGAATTAGAAGATAAAGGTAATGAGAAAATGTTAGGTAGTTTTCAAGAGATAACCAGTCAAGATGATCAGTGACTGACCTCAAAGAGGCGACAAATAAGCACGACTCTAACCAGAAACCTAGGCAAGAAAGAAGTAAAATTGAAGAAAAAAATCAGCAAGAAAGTTGGGATTTGGAAAATAGGAAAACATAAAATAGAAACAGAAATGGGGCCAATGAGATGGCTTAGTGAGTTAAGGTGCTTGCCAGCAAGTCTGACAGCCTGAGTTTGCTCAATGGGAAATACTTGGTAGATGGAGAAAATCAACCCTCAATAGATTGCTCCCTCACAACAAACAAACAAACAAATAGATGCAATAATGAAATGTTGGAAATGAAAAATCAATAAATCCAAACTTTAAAAATAGTAAAAAATATCACCAATAGACTCAACACTGCAGAAGAAAGAATATCAGTGATGGCGGACAAGTCCACAAAACACTACAGTTACAAACAAACTTCAATAAGGAAAAAAGTACACAGTACTCAGGAGGCAGAGGCAGGCAGATTTCTGTGCGTTCAAAGCCAGCCTGGTCTATATAGTAAGTTCTAGGATATGTAGAGAGATCCTGTCTCAAAAAACTAAAAAAGAAAGTAAAATGAGCATAATCATAAATTCCAAGAATTCTGGGTCAAAACACCAAAGCATAGGATAGGAATTGAGAGAAAAATAGGGCACACTGAGAATCTATTTAATAAGATAACCACATAACAATCCCCAATCTAGAGAAATAAATACAGATTCCAGAGACATTTAGAACTCAAAACTGCATGACAAAGTAAGATCCTCCGTGGCATACTGAAGTCAAGAAGTCAAAAATACAAACCCCCCCCCAAAAAAAAAAATTCCAAAAGCTTCGAGGAACACTATCACTTATGTACAAAAGCAAACACACCAGAAAACATCTTGTCTCTTATCAGCAACCCTAAAACTAACCAATAGAGGAGGAGGAGGGGGAGGGGGGGGGGGGGGGGGGGGGGGAGGGAAGAGAAGACACTTTAAGCTCTGAATATAAGTACCTGATGGAGACCTAATCAAAACACGATTTCTAATAACTTCAGAGACTTCTGTGGTTGTGGTCATCGGTTCTGGCATTGGACCAGACCCAGAGTGAAATCTACACTCTTGAACTATCAGCAATGTGGCCTGGAATACCTTTATCTCTTGGAACATCAGTTCTCTCCTCTGTAAAATGGGTATAAGAATGATACTGACCTTATGGAATTGTTCTCATTATTAAAGTCAATCATGAATATACACAAGTTAACACACTTCCTGGCAGTAG